AAATAGATACATAGATTTCTTATCGTAAGAGCACAACATCTGTACAGCCCATAAAATTTTAAGGGGGATTTTGAACCCCTAAAACGCCCCAAACTTTTCTATGCGTTACAATTAAATTAGTATTGTGACATCATTGGTTTAATACATCAGCACTTTTTTTGAAAAGCCAAGTTTTTATCGAGATTCGGCCTCTTTTTCATTATCCTTAAAAAAAATTTAAGGAAAAAAAAGTAAGTTATAACTGAGTAATCATGTAATTCGCAGGTATAAAAAATATGTACAAATGTGTAGTAACTATTTACTATAATGTTTTCTATTTTCCTGAATTCACATTCGGCACCGTTTAAAAAAGGAAAACCGTATTTTTTGGAAGATTGTTGGCTTCTGACATAATCGATATGCACTTTCAATGATTCTATGCCTCAGTTGTTGTTCGTCGATTATTTCAACAAAATACACATCCTCTTTTATAAAACCCCAGAAGCAAAAGTCAATAGGGTTAAGATCTGGACTTCTGACTGGCCAATAAATAGGTGTATCAGGACCCTTTCCAATCCAATTTTGAAATAATAGAGCTGACGAATATCAAAAATGTTTGCCTCAATATATAATTGGTCAGTGGGAAATGTCAGGTCCTTTTTATATATTAATTTTAGAAATATTCTCTATAAAATCTCTAATGGATGAAGGTGAGTTTTCAGTGCATTTCCCCAAATAAGAAGACCATATCTGAGGAGACTCTTAACCAGTGCATAATAGAGGATTTTAAGTTGGTTAACATTTAACATTGGTGTTAAATATTTAAACTTACATAGAATTCATCTTAGTATTTTGCAAGTATAAAAAATATGTACATCTCGTCTCATATGCGAGTATAAATTCATGGTTTATCTTGATGAAACTTGGTACGACACTCATGATATTGTTACGCTGGTTTTTGGTATCACAATTTATTTTAATTCAACTTTCACAATAACTCAATTCAACTTATACAATAACTCTAACTGATAACATTAACATGTAACGTCTATCATAAAACTGAAACTCTGACGTCAGATCGTCGAGTTATATAGCTTGCTTGACCTTCTCGAAGTGTCATCTAGAATATTCTTGACGGGTAATGACATTTCTGGAATATTCTATCTTCTTTTACTTGTACTTCTTTGTAGTAATATCAAAAGGGAGATCAGAAAAAAAAATAATCCTGCGTTGTCTGAAACCGTTTTAGATGTTATCAGAGAAGTTATTGGAGATATATCTCAAGAATTATGCTCCAATTGCGTTCTCTGTGTTACCAAAATTAAAAATAGCCATCGAATATTTCCGACTCATTCTTGCAATATAAACCTGAATGACACGTCAAGTGAAGATGATAGTTCTGATGACATTTGATTTTCCATTTTGGTTATATTTTTACGTTACTAAACGTAACCACGTATATGTTGGTTTACGTTATTTTGGAAAGGAACATGGTATTGTATCTGTTTTCCTTCTCTAGGAATGTAACATTGACGTATTGAGAAGCTTCAATCACTTTAAAAATTAAAGCCAGACTAATACATTCCACAGTAATTTAATTTTTTTGTAGCAAGATACAAATAACAGTTGTTCAAGCATCTTTCGTAACATCCTACATTGATTTTTAATATTCAGTGTAATATTTAAATAAAATAGTAGATGAAATATTACAGTTTCATGGCGATTTTTATTACAAATCATGAATATTTATTTCGGATCAATTACGTAAGTGTTGCCTTTAAAACTAAATTTAGTGTTATTTATTAAATAATCGAAGAAGGAAATTATGCGAATAATGTGATAATATTTAAATACGTACAACGTTTCCTCTTTAAAGCGTAACATACAACTAATTAGGTCCTTCCCTGGGTTGCCGTTGGACCTGTTTTTATACGAGTCCCTTTGTTGTGCCGCAAGAGAAAGAATATCTTTACTTCCAACTATACTCGTCTCCCGTAAACGATGATCAATGGAAATAAATATTCGTCTCTCTTGTGTATTCCGATTGGGATATTTTTCCGCATGACGCCTTGCAGCTGCTGCACTATTCCTTTGGCATTCACCTGTGATTACCAGAATTACAGATAATTATCTGAAACCTTGTTTTAGCCTGACCAAACTTACTCAGAATTAAATGCATACCTCCCATTTCTGCAAACGTCTAAACCATTGTAACAGAAAGTTTAATTTTTCTTAACACTTATAAAACGCACAGTAATCGAAAGCTTCAATTGACAGTATGTAATTGCTAAAGCAACTGTTATTTATTATCCGTAGACTACAAATGTTGAACAGCCAACTAAGAGGCAAAAAAAATAAAAAACATTTATTAAACTATGGAGTATATTAACACTATAAAACTCATTTTGAATAATTTAGAATAAGATTTAAAATATCTTTTTTCTTAAAATATATTTGGTAATTTAAATAAAAAGTAAAATCACATTTCCATATCTAACTCAAGTGAGTCCAAATGATCAGATATTATTTCTTCCAAAATTGTTTCTTCCCCTTCGTCTTCGTCATAATCATCCTCTAGATTTTCTTCATGTTCCAAAGTTTGTGGTTGTTGTTCCAAACGCATTTTTATAACTTCTGCTGGAAGCTTTAACTTATGCTGTTTATTTATTCGTTTTTGTAAATGTATACAAGAAATAATGGGATCTGAGGTGTCCATAGCTCGATGAAAAACATCTTCGAGATTATTCTGTCGGCTCGTTTTCCTAGCGTTAAAAAGTTTATTTCTGGCTTCAGATCCCTCTTCCCCGCAGTATCCCACGGGCAATATGGTATTCTCCATAACTAAATATTATTTCTGCACTTACTTCATTCACCTTCATCATTTTCATGTACTACATAATGGCCAATTCTTTTTGTAGTATGTTCCAGATGATTTGATAAAGGAACTTCTGCTACAATATCAATAACAATAATACCGGTTGGTCTACATTTAGGTTTACATTTCCACACTTCATTATAGTTTGGGTACATATTAGATTTTCTTGAAAGAGCTCCGTATCTGATGACTAAATACTGCTGTTTACTAAAATTGTTATCTAGAATAAATTCTAGGGATTCTTCAGGCGTATAATTTAAAGTTTCTCCTTTGGGCGTAAACAGCATTTTTCTAATTTTAGCTGGTCGAGATGGGCTTTTGTTTACTTTTAGCACGACTGCCAAATCTTAAATTCCTTGTTGTCGTGCCACCATACTTGCAGCTTGTACTATTAATAATGACTTATGTTGTTTTTCATGTGATAACTGCGAGGCTTCTCTTCTTTTTGATCGATTTGATTTTTCAGAAAACGGAATTGTGGGACGGCCGAAAGATGTAGATCGCATAGGTTCATTTATCTCAATACTAAAATCACTTTTTAGCCAATTCGAATTTTTTTTTTTTTAAATATTCCTTGTTCCGTAACGCTTTAGTCCATCTTTCATCAAAACTGTGACATAAACGATGAATTTTTTTCTTCGTCTATAATATGGAGCATAATATCAAAAAATGTATCGTCTTTTTCTCTTTCTTTTAGCCACAGTTCCAAAAAGTCCTCATACTTAAAACGATGCATGACTAGACAAAAATTTTTTGTTAGAAAGGGTAGCAGATAATTGCAAAAAAATCATATTGAATAATAATCCGTGATAAAGACGGACTTTTATCATAGTAAAACTATCTTGGCCAAACTCCGCCGAATTTTTATAAGTCTACCTAAATCTTGGAGTTTACAATTTTTTAAATAAATATACTTTATTTATGTATTAATTAATTTAAAAAACTAGGGTGAAAATTAGGTATTTTTGTTTAAATCAATTAAAAGTACATACCTTAACGGTAATACCACAGTTCACTAAAAATCCAATTTTTAAAAATCATAGCAACAGCTCAGCTTTAAAATTTGTCTACGATCGGCGACTTCTTTACGATAACTGACCACCGACAGAAGCTGCAACTTGTTATCCTAGTTAGGTAAAAGGGACGCCCAAATAAAAATCCCAGTTAGGATTCGTGAGCTCTGAAGTATTAATATTTAATATATCGACTTAAAAATGTATTTACTTAAAGTTGAAAAAAATACTTTTGGCCAAAAAATGCCTTTCTAGAAACCATAGTACAATGGTGTCATAATACTAATTTAATTGTATTGTATAGAAAAGTTTGGGGGATTTTAGTGGTTCCAGACCCCCTAAACATTTAGCAGATTTCGCAGTTTTATGTGATAACAACGTTCTTACGATAAGAAAGCCATGTGTATCCATTTTAATTTCAAAATGTAAAATGTTGGAAAAAATCTATTTTCATTTTGTACTTTCCAAGGGCTGTAACTTTTTTTGGGTGCCTTACAAAAGTAGCATCCGTAGCCTCCTCGTGGATCAGGCCACGAGCCGCCTCTGATCTCTTCCCACTGGCAGATATTTTTTACAGGTCATTTTAATGCCTAATAATAATGGCTTGTCAGTTTGACTATTTTCGCAAATTAGTGAAAATTCCATAGAGGGTATACCTCAAAATTCATTTGGAAACCAATGAAATGTTTAATGATGTGACTGTACGAAAAAGAAATGTTTATTTTAGGATTTTAGGATATTATGATAAAATAATTTAAAATTGTCCCAATAACTAAAAGTTAGAAAACAATAAAAATTGTGAAATTATATTTATTTTTAATAATTTTGCGGATTTCCTTGATTCAAATGGTACTTTAAATTTATTTATTATTTGAAAATTAGTAAATAATTATCAATTCTGAAATTGGTAACATTAGGTCCATTCCACCAATTTTTTTAAACATTAAAAGCTCTCTCATAGCGTTTTTGAATGCTAACTCTTCTGGATTTTCTGGTGTTTATGCATATTCAGTAATTAATACTCTTGTAACAATGCAACTCTAATAATATCGTATTTAATCACTGTAATTGAACTTAATTTAGTTCATTATTATTGTTCATTTCAATTATTTTATTACTGTTATTATTTTCAGGTCACGAGACCAAAGCGATGTTAAACAATGGAGGGCCCCGATACAAGAGATCCTCGGTGGAAAAACAAATGAATCAAGATGTTATATGGTGCGTCCTCATTTTAATATTTTTGTGTGTGGTAGGAGCCATCGGCTGTAAACTATGGTTGATGTTTTACGATAAACTGCCGTCGCCTTATCAAGAAAGTGAAAGTTCTGGAGAAGAGGCGTTTTTAGCTTTTTGGACTTTTATCATTATTTTACAGGTAAATTGGATTTTTCGAAAGTAAATTGACGTGTCTATCAAATTAACTTTTATCAAATTAACTTTACGCATTTTTGTCATGTAGCGAGAATCAATTTTCGGTAAAAGGATAGCGGTGCAGTCAGTAATGCGTTTAACGACGTTGTATATATATGTTTATGAGATTATAGTCATATACGTCATATCTACTAGGATTATGATATCTTTATAATATGACCTTAAAACAAATTAAAATATATTATTTTTAGTTAGAGGTACTTTAAATAATTGGATTGGTAAATGAAACATATTTAAATACCAAAAGCACAACTAAAGTGCAAAATAACTTTATTACTTCTTAAAATATTTAACCTATGAAATCACCTTCAAGGCACTTTTCCACTCAGCAAGATACCTATGAAACAAATCATTTAAATGTTTCAATGGCTTCTTGAAGTGATAAAAAATGCTCATCACGCATTTTATTTATGTTGCAATAAGTGGAAGTTATTGGGCGATAATTCGGGCGAATATGGGCAATGAGTCATTAATTGAAGCTGCTACTGTGAGCGCTTGAATTGTTATGATAAAGAATTATAAGTTTCTTCTGTAATGTACCATGTACCATAGTTTGACAATAAAGTTCGTACCAAAATAAAAGATCTTGATAAATTATATAAAGCTTTAATTCTATAATTGGTGATGATAAAATTGTAAATCAGGAAACATTTAAGAGACGTAGAAATGTGGTTGTCAGTTCTTTACAAAAAAAAAAAATCAATACTATTTTGAAAAACAGAAAATTCTCAACTTATGTGGAATGGCAAATAAATTAAACAACTACTTTATAACTAGCATTCAAGAAATGGTACAAGGTCTTCAACACCCATATCCCACGTGATCTGGTAACATCGCAAAATGTAATGAAAGTGCCTGATTTTAGTTACTCTTACGTCTGCTGAATTGATAGTTCTGTCAGAAATGTTACTGGCGTTTATGTGGGGACTCATTCTGTTTATTTCCGAAGTTGCTATTCACAGATTTTCCTTAATTGAATTTAATTCGCCACCTTTTCATCCAGGTGTTAATCATGTATATAGATTTTTCAATTTTCTATTAACATCTTCGTGATTTTTCCTATAGCCAGTAGAGTAGTACTGTACCTAGTACACTACCTTGAAGTACTCCTGCCTTGATTTTTCTTAGGTCGGAAAAAAGTTTCTGAAATACCTTTCTGACAAATAGGATTTTAATAGTTCTGAGTATTGGCGTGGCAGGAACATGTTTAGCTTCTGAATCAGGCCTTCATGCCATACTTTGTCGAAAGCCAATCATATCCAAAAAGACGATGGAGTGAACTTTTTTCTTCTAGAGATTTCTCGAGGATATCTGTGATTCTATGAACTTGGTCGATGGTCGAGTGTTTTTCTCGGAAGCCAAACTGGTGAGAGGGTATTAGGTCCTTTTTTTTATTATAGGTTTCAGTATCTTAAGAAGCAATTTTTGTTTCGAGATAACAGGCTACAAAGAGATTGGTATGTACGATGTAACTTCATGGAGAAGTTTACCTGGATTAGGTATCATAACTTCTATCACCTTCCACATCTTGGTACGTTACTTTAGTCTAAAAGACGCATTGATAAGACTGGTCATTTTGATAATAGCTTTTCGTCGAAGCATTTTCAAAATTTCCCCGATAATGAGTTCAAATCATATTTGTTTGGATTTCCATATAAACTTCTTTTGGAGAGGTAGGTTTAACCACTGTGTCATTTTGTGCTAGTTCCTTCCAGTCTTGAAGATTTTACTATTATTGGGTTGGAAGGTACTCTCTAAATGTTCCGAAAATCTGTTTGCTTGTTGCAAATTGTTTCAGGTCCATCTTCTGTTTCTGGTTGGTAAATCTAATCTGGATTTCGATAAAAATATTTATGTGATAATTATGCTGTAACTGTATTTCTTAATTTATCAAGAACTTTTGAAACTATCGATAGAAATATTGGATGACTAGTTATCTGATTAAAATTTGGTGGTGTTATCAGAATCCAGATTCGATGTTGGTTTCCTCAGGGATCCCTTTTCTTTATTTTATATCTAAATGGTTTAATTCTTTGTTGAATGTGATTTTATTGATTTAGATGATATTCTAATAGCATGTTACGATTTTAAATTGGACCATTCAGTACCTACAAAAATTTTCCATACTAATCTCTGTAAATAAATATCTTCAAACTGATAAATGTGACAAAAACTAAAGCTGTAATAATAACCAGAAAATATATATTCAACAATATTGATGTAAACGCAATAAGAATTAACATTGAAAAAATTCATATCGTAATTGTAACATCGATTAGGCACCTTTGATTTCAGTTTGATAACTTTTTATTGTTCGGTAATCATATTGACTATGACATATTTGAATAAACATATTATTATTATGACATCAAAAAAAACTTTACTTCTTTGTATGAATTACTAATAATGTATGAGTCCAGACTAATGTACCATTAAAATTTAGTCAAATTTTTTATTACTACAAAAAATGTAAGGCTCGTCTTATGAAGAAAATAAAGTCGTTATCTTTAATTAAAAGAAAAATATTCAATTTTTTTAACTCCGGTCATATAGACAGGATTAGGATTAATATGCTTTTTGCAAAACTTATTACTCAACTAGCTATTGCTCGCGGCTTTGCTCGCATTCATTTTTATTAATTTTTATTTATTTTGAATAATTTTTATTAATTTTTATTAATTTTTATTAATTTTTAATAATTTTTAATAATTTTTATTAATTTTTAATAAATTTTATTATTTTTTATTAATTTTTATTCATTTTTATTTATTTTTATTAATTTTTATTCATTTTGAATAATTTTTATTAATTTTTAATAATTTTTAATAATTTTTATTAATTTTTATTAATTTTTAATAAATTTTATTATTTTTTATTAATTTTTATTTATTTTCATTAATTTTTATTAATTTTTATTTATTTTCATTAATTTTTATTAATTTTTTATAGTTTTTATTATTTTTAAAAAATTTTATTAATTTTTATTTATTTTTATTAATTTTTATTAATTTTTATTAATTTTTATTAATTTCTATTAATTTCTATTAATTTTTATTAATTTTTATTAATTTTTATTAATTTTTATTAATTTTTATTTATTATTTTTATTAATTTTTAATAATTTTTATTAATTTTTAATAATTTTTATTAATTTTCGCCCCCGTTTTTTCCCCTTGAAATGTGAAAATCCAAAAACCATGAAAGGCTTCATTATTTATTTATGATGAGAACCTACAATTCCAATTTTCAAGTTCCTACCTTTAAAAATATCGATATTTCCAAATATCATTATTAATTTGTACTCATTAGAAGCAATACCAATTTTCATGTTTCTAACTTCAAAGAGAACAAAAAAAAGTTATACTCCCATACAAACTTTTGCCCCCGTTTGCCCCCCTCAAGATGTAAAAATATAAAAACCCTAAAACACATTATTATTAATTTGTACTCAGTAGCGGCAATTCCAATTTTCATGTTTTTAACTTTAAAGAGAACCAAAAAAATGGATACTCTCAAATAAATTTTCACCCCCCGTTTCCCCCCTTAAAATGTGAAAATCCAAAAACCCTGAAACACGTTATTACTAATTTGTAGTCAGTAGTTGCAATTCCAATTTTCATGTTTCTAACTTCATAGAGAACAAAAAAAAATCGATAGTCCCTTACAAACTCCCCCCCCCCTGTTTCCCCCCTTAAAATGTAAAAATCCAAAAATCCTGAAACACGTCATTATTTATTTATGCTCAGTAGCTGTAATTTAAATTTTCATGTTTCTAACTTTAAAGAACAAAGAGTTTCATTAAAAGCTCCCTCCCCCATTTCCTCCCATTTCCCCCCTTTAAAGTTAAAAATTTTTAAAATATAAATAAAATATAAAATAAACCTATGTTCCAAATTTCAGCTTTCTAGGCTCAGTAGTTTTGGCTGTACGCTGATAGGTCAGTCAGTCAGTCAGGACAAACAATTTTATATATATAGATTATTTTGTAGTAAGGAAAGTTTTTATTTATTTTTTTTAATAAACAATTAATATATTAAAATATGATCGTCGTCGTAATTCCTGTATTTAAAATACCGCCGGTCAATATGGCTGGCACTGCACTTAACCAGGGCTGGTATATCTAAGGGGGTCGCGACATAGGAGTCCATTTTGGACGCCATTTTTTTCGAAATAGTAGTCGCCCATTGATCTGGCAACGTGGCAACCTGTAGTCGCCAGGCTTACCAATATAAGAAAAAAAAATCAATATTTTTTTTTAAATGACATTTTCATTATAAAATGCCCATATTTTTTAGGCTAAAATATTTTAATTTAATAAATTATTAATAATCCTTTCCTCCATGTTAATAATCTCACATGTACATAGAATACGTCGTGAAAAGTAGATCACTTTCAATTTTGTGCTGTTTTGGTTTATTTTAAAAGGTAATTGAGGATATGAAGACAATTTTCTTATAGATGGGGATGCATAACAAATTATGGCTCCCTTTTTTAGAGCTCCAGTCCCCTAAGTCTATTTATTTTAGGACTTTTTAAATTGTTGGTGGGTATTATTCACTTCATTTTTATGTTTTTATTTAATTTAAATAATTTTGTGTAATATCTTGCGATTTGTTTTCTATACATTTTAGCATGTATTTGTTGGCTACATCTTACAAAGGATGGCTTTGAAATACCTTTACAACAGAGATACTTTCCTAAAACTGGCCTAAATTTGAAACTGAATATAGTTCTTAGAGAAAATCTCCAGTAAAAAATGTCAGAATGCAGAATAACAGTAGCCTAGATTAACAAAGCTGGCAAGAGTTGGACAAAACTTTGTCAAGCTTTTTTAATATTTCAGGAAAATAGTGTTAACAGCAGATCACAACAATAACAACCAAAGTTTAGTAATCAAGCAAAATATTTGAGTATCTCCAGAATTATAAACATATGAAAACTATA